TACTAGAGCGGTTGCCTCCGCCGCCGGAGTCATGGACAAAGCCGACAAGGTGCGGGCCGGGGCAGGGGCCCGAGGGTGCGGGACACCCCGGGGGGGAGGGGGGCAACACGGGCCCGGCCCGGGCCGGGCCGCCCGCGCTTGTTTGTCCCTCATCGAGTTGTCTGGAGCCGCCGCGGCGCTTCGTCCTGCGGGGCCCGTCCCCGTCCGGGGGGCTGGGAAAACGGGGGGGATATACCCGTCAGCGCGAGCGGCTTTTCAAAACTTCCTCAGCCCCTTGCCCGTCCCCATTGATTAATCGCTGTTGTCTGGAGGGTTGCCCTGTTGTGAGCCTTTTGAAGTGGTGCCGTTCACCTGCTGAATGAAGGCGAGAGAAGGGCGCCGCTCGGCCGATGGCTGGTCCCAGAGAGACCGTGGGGGCAAAGGCCGTCCCCTCCCCGGGCAGTACACTTGTTATGAGGAGGCTGTGGTGTGTGGGGAGGGGAGCCTTGAAGGTCCCCACTGGTGGGAGATTAAGTGCAGTCCAGTGATGGCTTCCAGGGTTTTGAAGTCAGTTATGCTCTCAGTTGCCTTGATTTACAAGCTTCAGTAGTCGACCAGCCCTTCAGCAGCAGCTGGAACCGCTACCTTTGTACGCAGGGGTTTTTTTTCCCAAATCAGTCAGTAAACAATATGCATCTTTTACTCCAGACTTTCTGCTGTGATGCGTGATGGGCTCTTTCATCCTTTCTCTTTATTGGACTCTTCAGAAGTTGCTAAGTCTTTTGCCTGTCAAATTCAAATTGGCCTGTTCTTCCCAATTGGTAGCTGCTTATCTTTTTTGTTAAACTTTTTGGGGGGTTCCTTTTTAAATAGGATACTCCTGTGAAGTGAGGGGTTGGTTCATTGTAGTTAGAGCACTTAATTGGAAAGGATTTACATGTGCAGGTTCGAGCATTTTTTTTTTTTTTTTTGCTTGATTGTGGATATAGGTCACCAGAAGCCTGGAAATCTTTGTGATTATTCACCCAGTGAAGGTCTTCTTGATCATTTTGACTTATTTAGGTTTAAACTTTCATCCCAGAAGTTGAATTAAGCTCTTTCTGGTTGGGAAGGTGCCTAAGCAAGTGTATTCCTTGCCCATGACTGGGGGTCCTAAGTTGTTTGGTAATTACCAAAATAAAAAGTGGCCTATTTCTGATATTTTGTGTTTCTCCACATAAGCCTTCCACATGTCCAGCAGCAGCCTGCATGAGTGTATTTTGACCAAAGAACTTTGTTTAATAATAAGTAAAAAGAATTTTGCTTTATCGATATAAACTGCTAAATTAGTTTAGGTATATTGGTGTTCATTTGTGTTACTTTCTGCTTTGAGCTTCATGACAACTGGTAAATGAGTATTTAAGCCTAGAGACATGGGATAATAGTAGTTGGGTATGTAGCTATAGGGAAGGAGAAGCGTTTTATTACCAGTGAGGGAAAAAATCAGCTGACATCCTCTCATAGGGATAATAGAAAATGAGCATATATGAATAGCAAACGTTGTATTGCACATCATGGGCACAGCATTTGTGGGCAGAGGGTAAAGAATTGGGAACATATGAAGAGATTGATGTGAACAAAAACTGGTTTCAAAGAAAGCTAAGAATAATTACATACCTTGTATTAACGTATTCTGTCCATGTTAACAAAACAAACTGAAGTGACAGAAGACGGTATCTGTGGATTTCCCTTGGCCTCTTTCTAACTAAAATGTTTATATGGTTCCTGCCACTGAAAGGGTTTTGATTGCTAAAATAGAGAAAAATCTATTGTTTTTGAGGGGTCTGTTGTGATTTCTTTAAAGGATGTCACAAGCTGGCAGAGGGTAGATTCAGGCTAGATGTCAGGAGGCGCTACTTCACTGTCAGGGTGGCTAGGATCTAGAACCAACTTCCAAGGGAAGTGGTGCTTGCTCCTACCCTGGTGGTCTTTAAGAGGAGGCTGGATGAACACCTCGCTGGGGTCTAGTACTCTTTCCTGCCATGGCAGGGGGTCGGACTTGATGATCTGCTCAGGTCCCTTCCGACCCTACCAACTATGAAACTGTTAAAAATTGTTTGGTTCTGTCCATACCAGAAATGGTGTTCATTCAGACTAGTTAGTGGGAATTGGATGACATTTATTAGCAGCCACAGATTAGGATAGACAAGTTTTTCTACTCATGCAAGTGGTGATAGGTCATTTGACAGTTTACCTTTTTATAAGGGAGCAGTGTTGTCAAATTAAAGATTATGGTATGTGCATGTGTGTGTGTTTTCTTAGGCCAATAATTAAGGTCTTTGACCGCAATAGCTGCTGGGAAATAAAGTAGACTTGTAAAATATTAATCAATAACATCCCCTGTTAGTATTACTTAAACTCTCTATTTATTCTGCTTGAATTAACTGCAAGAAAAATTGAGGCCAGCAGATTATGATATTGTGGAATTAGATGTAGTCATGTCTAAGCCTTCTAATGGTTAATAGATTTATTGTTGGCCACTAGGGAAAATCCCACTTGCATAATTGTTTTGCACTTGTGCCTTTTTTGAAAAGATCTCAAAGCACTCTTAGAAATGTTAAGACTCACAATACCTCTGTGAGTAGCTAAATTGGCAGGTTTTTGGTTTTTTTCTTTTGATGTTAAAGTGTACAGAAATTTAGTGGCTAATTCAATATCGCCCACCAAGCCAGTAACAAAACTTGGAAAAGAGCTCTGTGTTCTGACTTCCCATTCCTTCCTCTGCCTGCTGTTACATTGTCTTGCCTAGGATCTGGTGACTCTTACACAATCACATTTTTCTCTCTGTTTGGTTTTTTTTTTTTTGGATTTCCTCCATTGTTGGCAAGACCTACAAAATAAAGGGAAAGTGACCTGGATAGCCTTGGCATAAAGTAAACTTGAAAAAAGAGAAAAATTTTCCTCCATTTTTCAGTTATAGTCATCTTAAGCGTTGACACTTTCAAAAAGAAAAGCTAACACCAGAAATGTGAATTTTAAATTGTTTCCCGTTTGAAATATTTTTGCTGCATAATACCATGACCGAATTCTGATTCTGAGTGTCTTTGGATGAAAGGAAACAGAACACACTTGCTGAATGACCTGGTGCAGTCATGCTTAATCATTTTTAAATTTCCCATTTGAAGAGTTATTGCTTTATCTGGCTAAAGAAGCACCGCGTTAATGTATTTTTACAGATTTGCATGTGTATTTGATGGTTATCATCATGCACTATCAAAACGTTCATCGCAAATGCGATATAGAGGATCATGTCACCAAAAAGAACCAGTCAGTCTTTCAAAGCATACCAGCTGCAAAAGTGAAATGAGTTAAACATTTTCACCTGTTCTGAAATAGTGACTGCTTAACAAACTAAACTAAACAGATCCGTGTTCTGTTTCCCGAGATGTTGTAGAATTTGAAATTATGCGCATGCATGTGATTATAGATTTCAAATGTTCTAATTCTGTAAATGTACATTCCTTGGATTTAATATCTTATTGGAAGGAGGTGTGATGATTGAAGATTAATGTGAGGAGAAGTCACTTAATGTAAGTTGCTTGAATGTAGCCCAGGATATCTGAGTCTCATGGGACTACACTGAAAATCCTAGTTCCAGGTCTGTTGGAGTAGAACTATATTCTTTGTAGTGTTAAAACGGATGATACTGGTGCTATCCAGTTAGGCAAGGAATGGTAAATATGCAGCCTATCTGTCATATGGAAGTAAACTAATTATAGCAACAATGATTCCCATGTTTGCAGTGTTGCTCTTAAAATAGATTAAATATGACCTGTCTGCATAGTGAAATTACTACTGGGCATTTGAAACACATTCAGGAGCAAAATTTTAAAAGTTGGTTAAAACTAATTTGAGAGGCCAAAATCTTTTTGGGGTGAAATCTTTTATTGTACCAACTGTATAGTTGAAATAAAGTTAGACAAACTTTTGGCGGTAGACATTGTTCATGAGGTCTGAGGAGGAACCTCAGGTTTCTTCAGACCTAATGAAGAATGTCTTGAAAACTTATCTCGCCTTATCCCAATCATGCATTTGGTCAATAAAAGATTTTTGCCCCCCAAAATCCTTGCCTTGCATAATTTGTCAACCATAATGGCTACAATATCATTCGCTGTCTACCATAACATTACTAATTATAGAAGCTGTTGTTATCTAACTGTATTTTGTAACTAGACTTCTTGTTTCCAGACTTATACATAGCAAAACAGCCAACTTAATTTTCTTTCTCTGAAATGTAACATATGCATCTCATTTCTCACATTGTAGATGGTGTAAAAAGATTTCTAAGTGTTAGTTTTGCTCTCTTAGACAGAAGACAACAGAGATACCATTTTAACAGCAATACTGGAAGCTGCTAACTTACAATGAACAAAAACTTTTCTAAGATTAAGTGTACAGTGCTGTAACTATAGGACAGAGTTTACCAGTCTGTTCCTGCTAGTGTCATCTTCTGTCTTTGCAGCTGTTGATGATTACAGTAGCTTTTATATAGAAAACAAAGGGTCAATTCAGTATATATGCTGTCTTGGAAGAGTTGTAATTGTTTCACTGAAATATATAGTGTGCTGCTGCAAAACATTTTCTCGGTTAAAACTGAGAACTTTTGATGCAAAAATGTCTCTTTAAAATTAAAAGCTACACAATTTAAAAACTTTTTAATAAGAAATGTTTCAACTAACAAGCAATTCATTTATCAATATAATGCTACAGTAAAACTTCTCTTATTTCTAAATTAGTTCATTTGAAAACCAACAGACAGTTTGAATAAAACTTTTGCTTTTGCGCAGAAGGATGTGAAAACATGAAAAAGTTAAATTTTAAAATAAGATGGGGCTTAAAGTCATGTTATACATGCACTGTTTTCTGTATCTTGCTTTATGAGAAGCAGCTATTTCTTTTAATTAGCTATTTAAGGTCTTCTTGCATTTGTTGATGTTGGTGTCAAAACAATCACAAGCTTCAGGTAAATGACAGCACCTAGAACCCTGGCGGGGGTTGGAACTCCATGGTGATAGGTTTTGCTTGTACTAC